GTTAAATAATTATTTGGAGATCTATTACTAGAAACCCTTTTAATTTTATTATAATTTTTAAAAACGTATTTTAGTACAGGGACTTCAGGGTCTCACTACACAGATAGGACTTGTAGTGATCCTCCTGTTTTCAGCCTCCCAAGCACTGGGATTTCAGGCATGTGTCACCATGCCCACTCTCAATCCCACTCTCAGCATGCCCCAGGGGCAGGGCCAGCACAGCAAGCTGGGGGATCAAACCCCAGTCCCTGTGCCTGTCTAAGCAGGCACATTAGTCCGCTGAGCTATTTGGCCAACCCTAGAAACCCTTTGTAAAAAAACAGGATGAAGAAAAAGTGGAAAGAAAGTGTATCTCAATGTGAGTGGGCTATAGTGGTAGCATTTCCTGTCATGTAGAGAGAAATTCTTGACTGATACCAAAATGCATGGCTGAAGGAGGAAATACCTTAAATTGTTGACACAAATTGGTCATTCATACCCCCCTCACACTGAGGTGATGGGTTTATGATTTGTGAACAGGATATCCAAGGTCTCAGCTGTAGAGTGGACTATAAATATTGTAAGTGGAAGAGAACTATATGCTGACGCAATCCTTTTGTATGTGGTACCCTGAATCAAAGGTGTGGCAACACCCTACCTTTAATTAAGTGGTCTCACACCTACATAGGGCAAACTATTTGGTAACACTTCTGATTTCTGGCTAACTGAAGCATGACCAGACCAGGTTCATTTTGGATTAGTCCAATCAGAAGTCTATCTGATGAAGTCATCCAAACAGATGGTTTTGTTACTGCCATCAACCTTGAGTTATGACATGGAATCCTGGAGTATAAATGCAATTTCAAAATCCCTCTGTCATATGGGTTAGTACCACGCATGCTGTGTTTGTGAAGCAGGTTCATAACCTGGCCCACAGACTGAAGGGGTGAGCAGAGGAGTCAATTAACACTGTACAGGCAGGCATGAGTTTCCTCATCTGAAGAAAAGGTAAATTAATAAATGCTGTCCCATGCAAAATAATTGGCCTAACTCCAGATAGCCTTTCTTTATGAAATGCTAGAAGGCACAGGTCCTTAGGAGACTGATTCTTCATTTAGACGTGTGGAAATCCACACCTTTACAGGTAGTCTCTTGGGAAACATGGTCTGAATCCAGTATTCTTTGAGATGTGGACTTTTGGTACTTGACCTAACACTGATTCTGTTGTGTCTCTCTGTCTCTGTCTCTGTCTCTGTCTCTGTCTCTGTCTCTGTCTCTGTCTCTGTCTCTGTCTCTGTCCTGGGGATTGAATTCCAGACCTTGTGCTTGCCAGATAGGTGCTTATGCTGCTGAACTATATTCCCTGCACTGATTTTCTTGACTAAACCATCTCATAAGAGATTTCAAGAACAAATGAAGACAGGAAAAGGGCAGTCCCTGGGCTTCCAGCAGCTCCAATCTATAAGTTAGAGCTAGGCACATAGATCTACCCTGTTTTCAGGTTGACACAGGCCTTATTTCTTTTCATTTCTCATCCTCTCCAATTAATGTATGTTGGTTTGTCACTGGGCCTATGCACACACGCAAATTTGGTTTACCTATCCTAATTGGCTGAATCACTCTATTAAGAATCTGAATTATTGGACAACCAAGGGACAGGCATGCACACATCAGCTTTTTAAGTCTCACATGTAGGTGCACATAATAGAAGTCACCATTCTAAGCTTAGTTCCTGGCCTGAAAAAAAAAAAAAGGGTGAACTTTTTCAATTGCAGCTTGCAAACTGATGGCTTTGGCCAAATGCTTTCTTATAAAGACTTGGAAAATCAATGACATGCACAGTAAAGCTTAGCACACAATCCCCAAGAGGATTTTTCAAGAATGACTTCATGAGCCTGTTTACATATTAGTGGAGAACACATGCTTCACCAGGAACCAGAATTCTAAAACCTAAAAGTAAAACTTCATATTCCATATAGCTTATTTCTTTCCATCTTTTGAGATTGTTTAAAAAATAAATTAAGGAATACTGACTGATATGAACTGCTCACTTGTGAACTATAAAAAGTCAGTTCTACCAGCCACTGAAGGTTTACTGGAAAATGAAAGGAGGGGATGGCACTCCAGAAAGCCTCTACGGCTCCCCTCCAGCCTTCCAGTACCTCTCAAATATGAATTATCCATGCAGTGCCAACTACCATCAACTCTCCACCGATCACTAGGCTGTCACCTCTATGACTCTAAGAAAACTATGAAAATATTTCAACCAAATTTTCTGTGACTACCTGTGCTGAGTGAATTAGCATTATAAGAGGAGGGGCTCAAAGCAAAGTAATCTATTAAGTTTACCTCAAACCCCATGGCCCAAACACTGATTAAAAGCCTTATTTGAATATGCTATTTTAAATTATTTTTGTCAGGGCAGAGAACCAAACTGAATCACCCATTTTACTGACCTGAGTCTCAAGTCTGAATTCTCCTGTGAATTATTTTTAATTTAAAAATGAGCCCTTGCCCTATAAAATTAAGCAGTACTGAGGTAAAATGCAACATAGACTAAGTGGTCCGAAAGAAAAAGAACAGCTACTTCTATTTAAAACAATTGAGATTAATGACATTATTTCCACTTCTGAGATGAGAAAATGAACTCTATGGTATAGCTCTAGCCTATAATGACTCACAGGTAAGTACTCTGTGTCTATACAGCTGTTTCTGAGAATGTCAAAGATTTTGATGTAGGTAAACAAATGTTATAATATGAACACCCAATGCAGTACTACGTAGCCATTTAAAATACAATGAGGTTGAGCTAGGTTTCAGACATAAAAAAAGATGTGACAGTATGAATTTAAAATATAAGTTGCAGGATCTATTTTTTGGAGAAAAATTTATGTTATGTGTGGGTATAGAAAACCCTTCAGACACACAATGACATCATAATTCTGTATTTAGCTGTGAG